GTCTAAGTGGCAGCAGGTGATGTCAAGGGTGACACATTTTGGGATGACATTGGCGATGAAGATTTAGCTGCGCTACAGATGTCCCAAATTGTGCTTCACAAACAATCCATCATAGACGTAGAAGATGATTACATTTCTCCTGAAAAGTCAGTTCGACAGAAAATACCAGGAAAATATGCCAAATCTCCATATTTGCCAGTTTTTAATTCGGGGGCATCAAGATCGGCGCCCAAGCTCATTTTTTATATCAAGCATCCTTTCACGATCGAAATTGATGATTTTGATCCATTGTCGCCATTGGCTAAAGAGTTTTGCGCGTTTGTTGATAATGAGATGGATACGAGGCGAAGGTATCTTCACTTTCTTTAATCTTTCATGTTCTGATTTTATACTTGTCAATGAATGTAGTTCTGATTACTTTTTATTTTTTGTGATTGGAAGTGCCAAAAATATATATCCCGATGAAGTAAATAAGCTTGCGGAAGCTTTTACTTTTGGCTCGTGTAATGTGACCACGAAGGATTGGTTCCACACACTTGCATATTGTGGTCGACCTTTCATTGACACGATATTTAATAAATTTATGTTCTAATGCCTTTTTTTATTGTTGCATATCTTTATTATTTGAGACCCCCATAGTGTATACATAGCTTTGTATAATCACAATATAAGATTGTATAAGATTGTATAACCTTCTATAAATATGTATACCTCTGTATAATAGTGTATAAATTTCTATATTTAAAATCTCTGGTAGTGATGGTTGTTCTGTTTTATTTCTTGTCTCAGCACTTGGATGTCCTCTTTTATTATTTGAGGAAGAGGGGAAAATATGGGCCGAGTGTTGCCATGCGGTTTACTACAACCGACTTTGTCTTTGGTAACAAAATCAACTCTCTGTATAAAGTTTTCAAAGTGAATCAAGATCCTTCAGTGATACATGAGATAGAAGAGTACATTAGAGGATATTATTGTGATGCAAATTTCCCGTGGCACGCAGTTGACCACGTCTTATTCCCTATCTATGTGAAGCGCGGAAGAGCAAAATTTGGCCATTGGATTTTGGGGGTGTTTACGTTCATAGATAGGTGCATCCACATCTATGATTCTAACCGTGGAGCTATTAATGATAGACTTGTTTTGGATGCTGCATTACCTTATCCAATTCTGATACCTTACTTCTTGAAGAGTTCTAATTTTTATGTCGAGAAGAAGGGCATTGATTGGAACAATGGTGCATATACCGATAAATCCTATTCTGATGCTTTGCAGATTAATCTGGTTAATAATGTTCCCCAACAGATCAAATGGTAGGTTAATCTCAATTGTTTTACTATTTTACTATTAGTGTACCTATTTGAATCTGATTTGTTTTTTTTTAATTACAGTGATTGTGGTGCTTTTGTTGCTGGCTTTGCTGGGTATTTCATCCTTGGTAAGGAAATTCGAAAAGATAATTTTAACATTGAGACACTTCGCACCAGGTGGGGATCTCTGTTGTGGGATTATGGAAGGAAAAAATAACAGTCTGGTGCAATTAGTGGTGATGAAATCACAGGGAGACTTCTCAAGAAGAGGAAGAGGGGGCGACCGAGAAAGTAGTTCTATTTTTTCTATTTTACTGTAGTTTTTCTATGTATCAGGAGTTGTTGCCTAGTTTTGTCTAAGTACTATTCTGCTACTTGTGAGATAACCTTAAAGGATATTATAGATGTTTTTATTTTTGTGGAATTTGCGGTAGTCATTACACATTGTGGCTGTGAATGAATTACATTTTAATGAATATATCAGTTGCTTTTGTCCTTTAACAAAGTATGTATTTTCATTATGGTTGCAGTTTTGTTAATGTAGCAGGGTTTATACATATTTATACAATAATATACATAGTTATACAAATTTATACTCTCATTTATACATCTGTATACATATAATACCAGCAGTTCTGTTTTGTATTTGTACAATCTATCAATATATTTAGCACCATTAATAATAGCAACACACTATTATTGGATAATCAAAACATGTATAATGAAACATATTTAACATAATTAACATTTGTAACTCGATTACTTATGAAACTTAACTACTGAACATTTTTAACTCTATTCTTTATGAAACTTAACTACTCAACATGACAACAAATGTAATAGGAAGTGTTATATTTTCAACTATTTATTTTGGTCAATTCCTACATGTTTTTCTATTGTGACCACCTTGTCCACACACAGAACATGAAAACGCCCTCTTAGACTCTTTTTCTGAAGCATGTTTGAGTCTTTCTTTTCTTGGCCTTCCTGCATTCCTTCTCCCTTTAGGTGGTAGGACCACATCTTCCATCACCTCTGTTGGGATTACCCATAAACTCTCATTTGACATCGGATTCACTGGAAATTCATAAGTTCTAAGGAGTTTATCCTTCTTGTAGTAAAAAGAGCAATACTGGCCAGGTTTCAGCTGCTGGTTCTTCAAAACCGCCCAAGCATGCGGACATGGAAGTTCATCCATTTGAAATTTTTCACAACTGCATGTTCCCTCTTCAAGGCACACTATGTTTCGCCTTACCCCTTCAAACACAGTATATAACTTCTCCGTAGCAAGCCTCACCTGCAAAAGTTTTTTTTTTTTAAAAAAGTGAAAGAACATTGTACATTATTATAGAGAGTTATACATCCTTATACAAGCAGTAAAATGCAAGTCAGCAGTGCCAAGCATCATTATATTTTATTCAATTTACCGTCATTTGCTCCGATGCAATCAGATTTTCCCGAAGGAGTTTTTCGTACTTTTTGCCAAGCTCTGTAGATGTCTCCATTGCACTTTTTCTGTTTTTGTTGTTCCACTGTTGTAGCAAATTTATCATGTACTCCAGCAATCGCATCACTGGTAACTCTCTAGCATCCTTGTTTGCTGCATTAATTGACTCTGCAATATTGGAAGTCATTACCATCGACCTTTTCACTTTGGAATATGCTCTAGACCACCTTTCGTAGCCAATTTTGAACAAGTAAGGCTGCACTCTCGGATCAATTTTGCACATCTCTGTCATATGGTACTCAAACTTCTCTATCGTGTAAGCTCTAGCCAAAGCAAAGAAGATATCCTTCAATTGTTTGTGATATTTCTTGAATGTGCGTTTTATATTCTGCCACAAGTGAAACATGCAAATACAATGTGGTACTTCTGGGTACACAGCTTTTGTGGCATTGAAGATGCTTTCATTTCTATCTGAAACTATACACATCCCTTCCCTAACTCCAAAAGTATCCTTTATCTGGACAAAGAACCATTCCCAAGATTTGTTATTCTCTGAATCTACAATTGCATATGCAAGTGGAAGGATTTTTCCTGTTTATACAAAATAGATATTAGGATTCAGACAATTATACAAATCTTATACACAGTTATACACAATTATACAATTTTATACCAACTATAAATTTTATAAAAACAGTAGCTGTGAAATCCTATACACTTTTATACATGAAACTACAGCATTATACAAACTGCATAAACAAGGTAGATGCAGTCAACTCACCAGCTCCATCCTGTGTGCAAGCAGTCAATATGGTACCCTTATATGCTGCTTTAAGGAAACTTCCATCAACAACCATTATCGGTCTGCAATGCTCCCAGCCCTTGGTAGATGCATATAGCGAAACATATGCATAAAGAAAGCATCCATCTACTTATTTGTGCAACTTTGTAACCGTTCCTAGATTTGTTTGCTCCAACATATAAAAATACTTCGGCAACTCCTTATATGAATCACTCGGACTCCCTCTTATCATTGCCATTGCTCTCTCTTTAGCTCTCCATGCTTTCATGTAACTCACCTCAATTTCGTGTTGCTTTTGTATGTCCTCTATTATATCATTTGCAGTGTAAACTTTTTTTGGATTAACATACTTGTCCTTGACTATACTAGCAATTACACCCGAAGTAGCTTGACGTTGTGTTAAGTATCTTTCACCATAGCCGCATGTGTGATTATTATTGTAACTTCTCACTTTGAATATGTTTGCCTTGAAAACGGCAGAAGATTTGAAACTCCAAGCACAATTGTCATCCATACACATAAGGTGATACCTAGGATTAAAGATCATTCAACTTCTAAATACACTTGTATACAAAAACATAACTACATATATACTAATTTTAATACCTATATACAAATATATACTACTTTATACATATTTATACATATATATAACAGAATATATAATTATTTACCTTGTTGCGCTTGATCTCTTCACCTTGAATTGGAACCTCTCACGTACAGCCAAGTTCTTCATCACACTGACAACTGTCTCTTTATCCTTATAAACTTGATCTTCCTCAACAAATTCGTTCAATATATCATCTATTATACCCGTGTTTTCACTAAATTTCGTGTTTTTAATAAATTTGATATCAATAATCTCAGTGCTATCAATTGTTGATACATCTCTAGAATTTGAACTTGTAGCAACCAAACAGCTGGAACTTGTAGCAACTACACAACTAGAACTTGTAGCAACCAAACGATTTTCATAAATCTCTTTCACTGTCACAAACAATGGATATTCAGTGAAATTCAAGTTTTTCTTCTTTAATTCGATATACACCTTCACACCTGTATCGTTGTAAATCAGGATCGATGGCAAACCAACATTTGGGAGAAAGTTAATCTCTATTGTGTTTAACTCACTATCGATCCTAATCTGTTCCGAAATAGCTGCAACTAAATTGTTGTAGGTGAATGTCGACTCGATTATTACACAATCGCTGACGAAATTGATAAACTTGTTTTCTTCCCATTCACCACTATGAAGAACGTAAACTGGAAAAATCTCCATCGAAACAAAAAATGGAAATCAAAATTGAAGCAAAAACGAAAATTGCGCTGATTTGCAGCAAACAATTTTACTTTCGTGTTTGATTTGTTGTTAATTCGAGATGAAGAAGAAATTCTAGGGTTTTTGGAGCTGCATTGATCGGAAGATCTCGTTTTTGAAGTATTTGGGGAAGAAGATTGGAAAGAATCAGAGAAAATACAGAAAATCCCGCTTCTACTCCAAAAAACGGAATAACGCCCTTTTTGGATATGGGCCTATAATTTTTGGGCTACTCAATTGTAAAATTGAAATATGGGTCC